TTTTCTCCCGTCTCATCCTTGGTATTGTTTCTGCTGCTTATGAACATGCTGGATAGCTGTGATTTTAGGGACAAAATCTCATTGAATTGTTCATCAGTTTTTTTTCTGAGTGATCTATTGTCATCCGTGAGCTGATCATTTTCTTCATTTTTTGTGTTAAGCTTTTCTGACAGGTATTCGTTTTCATGTTTCAAATTCTTGAGTTCTCTTCTCAGTGTCTCATCTGTTGTGTTGTTTTTTGCTTTTTCTGTTTTTAGCTGAGATTCCAATCTTGCGATTTCTACTGTTTGATCCTTCAACTTCAGAGACTTAATTGTATCTAATTCTGTCTGCAAATTATTTACGGATCTGGACGCTTTCTGTAAGGCGTCGGACAAGTTTTTCTCAATTTTTGACATAAGTGTTCCTTGTGTTTCAGTTAACTTGGTCAAAGATTCGATGAAAATAGATTGTAATTTATCGAAATCTTTGTAAGTCACTTGGGGACTACAGGTGTCAGTATTTTCTGGTTGTGACAAATCTTCTATCTGATCTTTCGGTATATGTTCATGTTCAAGAGTTTTTAATAAGGTTTCATGATCAGGGTCCTCTGCTTCTTCGTTTGATATCTCAGATTTTTCATAATGACAAATGGCATTCACAAGGGATAAAAGGATTGGGAAATCATTTCTTGCGAAAATGTCGTGATGCAACCCTTGTGCTTGTATCACTCCAGTTGTAATAAATAGGGTGACCTTGTACATAAGTTGTGTGTCCTTCACTAAACCAATACAAATTGCTTTGTTACCTTCAGCCACCCAGTCATTCGGTTCGTCATACCAGTCTACTAGATACGATAAGGCCTCTAACTTCCCATAATGTTCATAATAGAATATTCCCAGAGCTCGTATCCATGCTTCTAATCTCTCCCTAGTGATACGAAATGCTACCATGTGAGCCGCCTGATCATATAACGAGTTGTCGATCTTTTCAATTTCTAGTTTCTTTGCTTTAGGCCCTGATGGGTTTTTGAAGTTATCAGGTAAGCACTCTTGAGGGTATTCCTTGTAAATTACACTCACTGACAAATCCACCTTCGTTAGATCTATTTTGAATGGTAAACTCACTACCTCCGCCATTTTGACTTTGGCGCCATCCCTGTCATCGATATTGTTTATAGATTTGTCACTTTCACCCATTTTCTATACTTCAATGTACTGTTTGTAAATTAATTTGCAGCCTAAAATATCTGTATACCTTTGTGCCAATCTATATTCATACACTTCTATTCCATAGAAAGGGACAACAACGCTGGCTATATTTTCATCAACCGTGCATCCATAACCGGAACCGGATGTAATGAGTTGCATGTGTCAAGATGCATAGTGTAAACCGGCCTTTAGAATTACATCTATTACATAATCGGTCTTCTCGAGGAATATTGGTAAATCTCTGAACACCTGCATTACAGTGGGCTTGCGTCACGTACCCAACTTAAGTACTAGTTTTACCATTATCGTTTTTAGATTGCGCTGCAGTCTGCACGTGCAGTGTGGTGACAGCATGTATATATCCGAAGGAATTATTTCATTTTGTGTTAATTAATTAATTATATTTCATGAAGTTTAAATAGAACGTTCTATCGTTAAAATGATATTGTCCTACAGACCCGGGTGAGGGCTTGTACCGAGACACAGTTAGATCGAAGTTGTAAGGACGTATGACAGCCCGGTAAGCACAAGTTTTGGTATAGATATGGGTAAAATAGTCTATGGTTAGGTTAAAGTTTAAAGGATCAAAGGTCATTGGATGCTACAATAGACGATTTTCAGGGAGGGGGGATTTCCAGACCAGAATTTCCTGAGAAAGAAAAAAAAAAGTTATGGTGGGGTCTGTTTTCTAGGGTGGAGGGCATCCAAAGTCATTTTATTTTTATTTGCTTCAGTATATATTGTCCTGCAAATTGCGGGGGAGGGGGGCAGTTTTAAGGGGGGGCGCACCCGGCGCGCTCCCCCCTAAAATTGTCAAAGTTAGCATAAATCAAATATTTCTACTTGGTAGACCTCATTTTTACCCTACAAAATCTCTAAAAAGGAACGGGGGCTTAGCCCCCTGAGCCCCCAAGGGCTTTGCCCCAGACCCCTTGCCTAATTTTGGCGCCCCCTCTAACTCTAAATCCTGGATCCGCGCCTGGGGGGGACTCCCTATCCAACCCTTGTACCTGTAATGACAAATGATCACGTGACTCCTAAGTTGTAGGAAACTTTTTCCATTTGACTGTACCTACATAATTTTGTTTCTTGTGTTATTATGTTATGTAAATTTAATGGTATAAAGGTTATGAACCCCTGGAGGTCATCCCCACTCCCCTAATGGACTGGCAATGTTCACAATATGACTGCATAAAAGTATATTAATGATAAGATTGCTCGACATTTTATTCATGAATTTGTGTCAATTAACCTATCCTTCTAGAATTTAGGAATGAAAATCATTCAAAGAGAACCACATTTTAAATATTAAACTATTTGTATATTTTACAATGCAACATTTTTTAAAAATGTACAAAGAATTAGTAGTAGTTTGCAAACATGAACAAATAGGGGCTTAAATCTTGATTAACAAACTCGTCTGTAAACCATGGTAAACTGTTAACATATCATTTTCTTGTTATTACATGATATATGTTCTGCATTCATTGAGTTTTCAAAATAAAATTTTTTCTCAAAATAAAATTTTTTCCCTACCTATACTTACCTAAATTATTTTGGTCACGGAACAGGAAACTGAAAAATTCAGGGAGAGGGAACAAATGACATAAAAAACACAATATTGATTTGCGTTAAGAAATATGCATGGGATTTTCTCCATCATAAATCTTCTTCTCAAGAACAGCAAAGGCATTATTTTCCCTCGTTTTTGAGAAAGGGAGGGGACATTAAATCTCATTTGTCTGTCAGTCTGTCCATCTTATTGACAGTATGTGCATCTGTCACAATGCATTTAACCTTGGTCATAGATTTTGAATAATAATAGATAGGGCTTTCATATTTGACATATGCATATTATCACAAAACTTTCTGAATATACTTCGAATTTTTAACCCAAGTGAGATCTTGACCTTAAAGTTTTACCTCACTTTCTAAAAAATAACATTTATTCAAATTGATTATTTTGAAAGAGAAAAGATAGGGCATTCAAATTATACATTGTATATTACACGTGAAAAGATTTGCTAAATATACCATGACTTTTGACTATGTGACCTTGACCTAGAAAGTTAACCTACTTATAAAAAATATTATATTTCCTTATAAACATTTGATTGAAAGGAGATAGGACTTTAATATTTGACATGTACATTACCGGCAACAAAATATTTTCGTGTATGCTATGATTTTCCCCTTTGACCTAATTTTCAAAAATTGACAAATGATAGGGGTGCATATTTGACACACAATCTGCCATAAATTATGGCATCCCATTCACTAAAACAAAGAAAGCAGAGGACCACAATTCTTTGAATGTGGTTGTATAAGGCTCAAGTGAGCTTTTCTGATCACATTTTGTCCATCGTCCGTCTGTCTGTAAACTTTTTACATTTTCGACTTCTTCTCAAGAACCAATAGGCCAATTTTAACCAAACTTGGTACAAAGCATCCTTGGATTAAGAGGAGTTTAAATTGTTAAAGTGAAGGGCCAAGTCTCCTTACAAGGGGAGATAATCAAGAAAAGACAACAATAGGGTGGGGTCATTAAAAAATCTTCTTCTCAAGAACCACTGGGCCAGGAAAACTGAAACTTAAGTGGAAGCATCCTTGGGTAGTATAGATATTAAATTGTTAAAATCATGACCCCCGGGGGTAGGGCGGGGCCACAATAGGGAATCCAAGTTTTACATAGAAATATATAGAACAAATCTTTAAAAATCTTCTTCTCAAGAACCACTGAGCCAGGAAAGCTGAAACTTATGTGGAAGCATCCTTGGGTAGTGTAGACATTAAATTGTTAAAATCATGACCCCATTGGGCAGGGCGGGTCCACAATAGGGAATCCAAGTTTTACATAGAAATATTTAGAACAAATCTTTAAAAATCTTCTTCTCAAGAACCACTGAGCCAGGAAAGCTGAAACTTATGTGGAAGCATCCTTGAATAGTGTAGATCTTAAATTGTTAAAATCATGACCCTCGGGGGTAGGACGGGGCCACAATAGGGAATCCAAGTTTTACATAGAAATATTTAGAACAAATCTTTAAAAATCTTCTTCTCAAGAACCACTGGGCCAGGAAAGCTGAAACTTATGTGGAAGCATCCTTGAAAAGTGTAGATCTTAAATTGTTAAAATCATGACCCCCGGGGGTTGGGCGGGGCCACAATAGGGAATCCAATTTTTACATAGAAATATATAGAATAAATCTTTAAAAATATTCTTCTCAAGAACCACTGAGCCAGGAAAGCTGAAACTTGTGTGGGAGCATCCTGCATAAGGTAGTGTAGATTCTAAAGTATTAAAATCATGAAAGGGAAGGGGGTAGGGGCATGATAGGTATACCAAGAGGGGAAATCTGGTAAAGAAGTGACTCAAGTGAGCGATGTGGCCCATGGGCCTCTTGTTAATAATAAACCAATATCCAGGGTTCTCCATCATTTCAAATATTACTGTGTTGCAGAGTTTCCGCGAAGCACAAAAATTTCGCGGTATTTCGCGATCAAATTTGCAACTGAAACTGATTCATTATAATAGCAAAAGAATACATGCACACACTTTAAAAATAATCGGTAAATCGTTACACAAATGGTATGGTCGTACATATTGATAAAAGTAAAAACACATGTTCTAAAAAGCAGAGGAAATTCTGGTCGAGACAGTCGTAGTACTTTATATTTTTTAGAGTAAATTTGCTTCTAAATCGGACCACCGAATTACACAACAAAGAAACTTCAGAACAGTAAAATACTTTTAAGAGTTCCTTATCTGAACATGTTTAAAATTTTAAGCAGTTCATTTACATTAATGAAATGACTTTGGTACGATTTTATGGTTCACTTACAGTACTAAAATAATCCTAGAGTAGAGACGTGGTTCTTTAGAAAAGACACAGTCATCTAAATATTTTTTTAAAAAAAATTATTCAATCTATTTTAATGCAGCTACCAATTAACCGTTACATGGAAGTGTGAAAACAAATTACATGTATTTGTCTTTGTTCCTTCATGCGTGAAGTCCGGCGAGGGTCTAGGAGATAATTGATTATGCACGGTGAAGCCCTAGCAATTAAGTGCTCCACCGTTTAGAATTGACAGACGGTAGAATTGTTTGATTAAAATCTCACTCAGCATGGTTAGAGAAAATTTATGTTTAGATTTTCAAAATATCACAGATCTTACTGTGTCACCAAATTTTTACTGTGTCGCAAGCATTCAATTTGAATCATTACTGTGTCGGAGAAAATTTTACTGTGTCTGGAGCAACACAGTAAAACAGCTCATGGAGAACCCTGAATATCTACTTTTTCCTAGCCACAGTGCTCAGGTGAGCACTGTGGCCCATGGGCCTCTTGTTTACAGGTAGAGGTACAGATACAGGGCAGTAGGAAGAGAACTGAAGAGGCTAAGATCGATAAAAACCCTGTCAGTAAACGTGAGAACGTGATTGAGGAATGTCTCAACGAACTATTAGAAATGGCAAAGACAATCAGTAAAACTGACTTTCAAAGCTTTATAAAGTAAGTCAGCGGAACAAATTTAAAGTCAAACGTAAATTTTTGTACTTCCTTTTTTTCATTATATTGAATAAGATTAAGAGTTGAAAACTTTTTTTACAGCTGCTGAGCATGGCCTACGTAACTACGTTACTGTATTCCCGATTTTAACACTGCGACAGTTGGCTGAAAAGACGCCACTGACTGTAGACGAGATGACGGCAAGTATCGATGGTTTGCCGAAAGCAAAAGTCAACAAATATGGAGCTGAGAGATTTCTTGAAATCACTAAGAATTATAATCTAATTCTCTCGAGTAAGTTAATTATGCTAATCTGCATATTCCAAGTCGTGAGATAGATTTCAAATTGTGTATTAAATATGGAGGGTTTTGAATTGAAATTGAATGTGCTTTTTTGTAAAACTTTAAAATATTTCCAAAAGAAAGACAGCATTGTAATTAAATTGTTTTATTGATGTTTCCTTCATATTTAGTTTGACTGAACTTCTTTTAATGATCTCCATTAATCTTACTTGGCTTGCTTTATATCCCTTTTATAACTTGATTGATCTCCCTTTATATTTGATTTCTTCTTGTATGATGTTATTGATCTCCCTTTGTACTCTTTGATTGATCTCCAGACCTGCTTACCCTTCCGCTTTTGTCGTAATTCTTCCGCTTTTTTCCACAAAATTACGCTATTACGCCACTTATATTAATTTTACGCTTTTGATAATTTGGTTTAAAATTCATAATGAACATCTTAATTTAGTCTAAAAGTACGACCTGCTGAAATGAAATGAGAAGTTCTTATAAAAGTAATTAATAGAGGACCGATACAGTAAAACTCGTTTAGTATGAACACGGATATAACGAATTCACGGATACAGCGAAGTTTTTCTGGATCCCCGGCAAAATTCATAACAAATCTTTGTGAAATTTTACTGTTATAACAAACTCTGATATAATGAATTTACGGATATAGCGAACTCATTATGAGTCCTGATGAGGTTAAATATAATGAAATTTACATCTTTTATAATGAACTTTCAAAGATCTTAAAATTTGCTAAATTTATTTGACTTTATTTTCTTGTAGCATTTGTATATAAAATTCAATTCATAATTAAACCTTAGTTATCGACGGTATGTTTTGTAATATTTGCTTCACTAACATATTTAGTAGTAATACTTGAAGAAAAACATTCATATTGCGATCTCACTATGATTGTTTATACGAATTCATTATACGGATATAACGAATTACGGATATAGCGAATTAAATTCACAGGTCCCCAGGACTTCGCTATAACCGATTTTTACTGTATACCTAGTAGTTACATGTAAACTGGTTACCGAACATTCGAACGAAGACGAGAAGGCACTACTTACGTTAACTATTAAATGATATTGCAATAAGTACTGCCATTTCTTCGCTCAATTTTGTTTATTTTAACATTGCGTAATACAAGATAGAGATTGATTGAATGATTGTTTACTGTTTAACGTCCCTCTCCAGAATATTTCACTGATATGGAGACGTCACCATTGCCGGTGAAGGGCTGCAAATTTAGGCCTATGCTCGGCACTTACAGCCTTTTACACCTGCTGTGACAGGGGGCCTTGGTTTATATGGTTTCATCCGAAGGACTGCCCCATTTAGTCACCTTTTACAACAAGCAAGGGGGTACTGAGGACCTATTCTAACAAGATAGAGAAATGTGAGTGTTAAAAAGATAAAATACAATGTTATAATGTACAATCAGTGTAAACCTGCAAACGCAGGCCTTCAATTCAGTCATTTGATACAAATTGACCAAATGATTCATTAAAGGTGTACGGTCGAATTGAGTTTGATATAGGATATTGGTACTTTACAACACTTTTTTGCCAACATATGACTCGAAAAAGAAAAGTTTATGCCAGCTTTGTTTAGTAATGTACAATTTCGGTTATTTTGAGAGAAGTATTATAGTAAACAACAAAATAGGAAAACATGATTAATTACGCTTTTACCTCTGAAGTTCCACCAAAATTGTACTGAAATTACACCCTTGCAAAGAAAAGGGTAGGCAGGTCTGGATCTCCCTTGTATATTTGAACTCCCTTTTTACATTTGATTGATCTCCCTGTATACTCTGTGATTGATCTCCCTTTGTACATTAGATTGATCTCTCTGTATATTAGATTGATCTCCAATTGTACATTTGATTGATCTCCCTTTATACTCTATGATGATCTCCCTTTTTAGATTAAATTGATCTCTCTTTGTACATTAGATTGATCTCCCTTTATACTCTATGATTGCTCTCCCTTTGTTCCTTATAATTGATCTCCATTTGTGTATTAGAATGATCTCCCTTTGTATTATTAGATTGATCTCCCTTTGTATATTAGATTGATCTCCCTTTGTAGATTTACAACAAGAGGAGGAGGAGGTGGAATCAGATAATCCGGAGTGGGAGTCTCCCTACTTTGTTGACGAGTCAGCTGGTTCATCTAACACAGGCAGAAAGAGGGGGGCCTACAAAAAGGTACATCTACATCACTGATTAGTTACATTTATTTACATAATGAATAATGTAGATTTTTATGTGCATATAATTCATTTAATTAATTAATCTATTTAAATGGTAGAGAGGTTTTGGAAGAAAGAAGAGGGGAGCTAGAAGCCAGTCAGGTTCAGGGAATTCTGGGTAAGAGACAAAAACCACGAAGGGGGGAGACAAGGGGTAGGGTCTGATAGATTGTAATCTGTACTGAAGATTAGGACAGGGTATGAAATCAATATGGTTTATCAATAAGTTGAATTTTTTTTTCTTTGAGATGAATATATGCCATCCTCTTCATGTATGTGTTGGATTCAGAATGTCTTATGAAGTTTTTAGAAATGGTTCTTTTCCAATGCATGCAACAATATTTCTGCATCATGTGTTTTAATTATCCATATCTGTAATTATGATACTAGAAGGAAGTACAGTGGAGTATCCATCTTGCATTGATCTGTACTTTGAATCTACTGTCAAATGTCACCAAATAAAGTCTCATAAAACTTAAATTCTGGATATCATAGTCTAATATAGATTTCAAAATGAACAGTTATTATTGTATTTAATTTTTTTTCACAATGAATTGACTTTTTCAGGGGATTTTCTGACAAAGGGAGCAAATTTTCAGCATGCAGATTCTCCAAAGGATCATCCAAGAACTTGAAGAAGGTCCCAAGTGCTGGAAAAAACCAGAGGGGTGGATCTAGCAGTTCTAGAGGTGGCGCCAATAATTCAAGGGATGGATTAGGATTTATGCCAGTCCCACAACCTAAGCAATCATTTCTGGGTGGTGGGGCTGGCACTTACTTTTAAATATGAATGAAATAAACATTTATTTCTGAAAAACAGTTCTTTGATAGGTTTATATTTAACCAAATACTTTGATATTGATGTGAGTTTGATTTCCCACAAAAGAATTAAATATAAAGCTGTAGAGAGGTGACGCTCTGTAATACTTTTAAATTAAAAACTCAGCATTATTATTGCACAAGTAACAAGAATGTTATGTACCAGTAAGATAACACGTATATAAACCTTGCTTGTACAGTCTACACTGAATTCCCATTTTCACCATTTCTATGATAGATTATGAAATTTGAAATTGCAAATGTATGAAAGTCTAAGCAAGTGAAAATAACAATGATGGAAATGTACAGGAACAAAACATCATGTTACTTTTGTTTTCTAGATTAAGTGATCAATTCTGCAACATGCTTGAGCTACATGAAAGAGTAGTAACTTCCACACATTTACCAAAAAAAGTCTCCAAATGGTTAATTATGAGAAAAGTTCAGAGTCTAGTTTATGGATATCAGAATATTTATTTTCCTAAGTCGATTATTTGATTTAATTAAGGAATAACTGTCTTATTTTTCGAATTCATGAAGTGGTCAATCGATTGGCTTGCGTGATAATTTGCATAAACGCCGAAGGCGTTTATGCATAAAATTATCACACAAGCCAATCAATTGATCATCTTCATGAAATTGAAAAATCTGACAGTTATTCCTTATATTTACATGCTTTGATTCCGCCATTATCCACGTTCTCTAAGCCCTGCTTCTGTCTAGCTGTTTGTCCCACCCTGCACATGGTTTTTTTGGAACCGCGCCAAAACATTGATGGGGAAATAAAGTACATATACATTTGGTAATTTTATCTCAGACAAAGACATTGGAAATGTAAATATTGCATTATAGGAACGACAGTTGAATATTTTGGAACATTTTCTGAAACTAATTTTTTTCAAACTTCACTTGACATAATTTTATAACTCAAAATCCCCCCTACCTCAGTATCAAATTGTCAAAATTTGTCACAGGTATGGTCTGTTCCTTTGATTTGACCGATTTTAAATTAACATTTAAGATAAAATTAGTTTATCGTATTAGATCAAGTCCAATTAATACTTTTACAAACAAGACTTGTTATAAATTTGGTGGGTAAAACAAAAGCAACACAGAGAGTGGCTGAGGAATAATTCAGTGTACATGGGGAAGCACTTACAATTTCGGTTTTTGTACTTCCTTTACATACATTTTAGCTCACCTGAGCTGAAAGCTCAAGTAAGCTTTTCTGTTTATCTGATGGCTGCCATCCGTCCATTGATATATATAGGAAATCTTTAAAAATCTTAAGAACCACCGGGCCAGAAAAGTTGAAACTTATATGGAAGCATACTGGGGTAGTGTAAATTGTTTAAATCATGCCCCCTTGGATAGGATGGGACCACAATAGGTAATACGAGGGAGAAAGTCTGGTGAAGAACACCAGGAACAAAATTACTCAGATGAGCGTTGTGGCCAGCCCATGAGCCTTTTGTCTAATTATAATAATATTCCGCCGTTGTTTCATTATTTGATTGATTGATTGATTGTATACTGTTTAACGTCCCTCTCCAGAATATTTCACTGATATGGAGACGTCACCATTGCCGGTGAAGGGCTGCAAATTTAGGCCTATGCTCGGCACTCAGGGCCTTTGAGCAGGGAGGGATCTTTATTGTGCCACACCTGCTGTGACACGGGGCCTCAGTTTATACGGTCTCATCCGAAGGACCGCCCCATTTAGTCGCCTTTTACGACAAGCAAGGGGTACTGAGGACCTATTCCAACCCGGATCCCCTTGGGGCTTCATTATTTGACAGTTTGTCCATTTGACTGATAGTTGAATATTTAACTGTTCGTTGACACCAATTAAAACATCAAATATTTCATACCATGACGTCAAAAGACTGAGGAGGATTATAGAGAGTAAGTAGGGGGGATCTATGGATAGATATTTTTTATACATGTATGAGGGTCACTACATAAACTGTACATATTGGAAACGTGTTTAATTTTCTTCAAAATCAAACAGTCACAGTTGGATTTTAGTTTTATTTAGTGAGGTGTGTTTTGTTTATTCACAGTGGATCAGGCAGCCACATTTGATTCCAAAAGAGTTCATATACACAACCTCTTCAGAATGGTACAGTACTGTGAGAACGTGGCCGACTGTCGACAATCACAGCTGCTTTTAAATTACTTGTCTTTGGAGAACGAGACTTTGATAGAGAGAAGTGTGGAAATTTCCGTGGAGCTATGTGTGACAACTGTGTGTCTTCATAATAAATGAATTAATGATTGAATTTTAATTGGAAAGATTAGGAATCAAAAGAAACATTGTGCATGTACAGGTACATTTATGTACAATTTATTGTACATGTATTACAGATTGAATAACATGTAACAAAATGTTAACAAAATTTTTTTTTTACATTTGTATTTAATGATTTTATGAATTGTTTTGGTATTAATTATAATGTAGAATTCTTATATTTTAAGGAGTCCTTCCAACTCCGTGATGTCACAGACGATGTCAAGGAGATTGTGAATTGTGTGAAGGATCTGACCGTTAATGGAAGACGAGGAAACGACTACACCCTTATCTACTTTGTGGATATATTTAGAGGTAAAAAAAACTGGGGGGAATTCTTCTCAGAAACCATTTGTAGTCACTGTGGAAATCATTGTAGTGGAACCTCATTAATCTAGATGCTTGTATTATGAGCAAATTGTATGTCTGGATTATGAAATATCTGAATTAATGAGAAATATTGTGTTTTAATAATTTGAATTCTGCTACATATAAATTTTGTATGGAAAGCTAATATAAGCTTCTGGATAAATGATGTTCCTCTGGAATTTTTTTTACTGTATGTGACTTATTTCTAACCAAATTTACATTTCAAGGAGCTAAAACTGGTAAAATTTCTGATGCTGGACATGACAGGATACCCCTTCATGGTCATGGTAAAAATTACAGCAGGGCTGATGCTGAAAGACTGCTAAAAAAATTAGTTATTGACGCCATATTTTACACGTCAGGATCTAAAAATTACTGCGGCAGACACCACGGCATGTTATATCAGACTCGGACCTAAATCAAAAGACGTGATGATGGGAAAACGCAAGGTAGCTAGGACTCCCCAGCAATATATTAGTTATGTATGGAGGAAAATATTCTTAAGTTTACACTTGTAGATGTTTTGAGTTTTATGCCCCCCTTCGAAGAAGGGAGGGCATATTGCTTTGCTGCTGTCTGTTGGTCCACTTAGCTTCTGTTCGTTTTCTTATTAACCGTTGCACATACCGAAATGAAATTTGGTATACAGATTTATCAGATGAATATCAAGGTAAAGTTCTGTTTTGGGTACGATCGCACCAATTTTGACAGAGTTATGCCCCTTGGACTTAGAAAAATTCCAATTATTCGCAGTTTCCGTTCATGTTTTTTTGCAGAGTGTGCATATACTGAAATGAAATTTAGTATGCGGATTTATCACATAAATATCTAGGTCAAGTTCTGTGTTGGATGCAATTGCATCATTTTTGACAGAAGTATGCCCTTTTGGACTTAGAAAAACTCCAATTTGGGGGAAGGGGTATAAGTGTTTTACAAACATCTCTTGTTTAAAGGAAGTTCTACTACATTAATTGGAACTTTTGGTTTAATTTTTGAGAATTCTATCGCCAGTCCTTGATTTACAGCAAGTTTAAGTATCATTGTCTTAGATATTTTGGATATGTCATTTTTGGAACTTGGAAGTCCCAACAGTTCAGTCTTTATGCTTTTTAACCTCATTATCTAAAACCATTGGATATCTCGAGGTTTTTTAGCTCACTTGAGCCAAAGGTTCAAGTGAGCTTTTCTGATCACATTTTGTCCGGCGTCCATCTGTCTGTCTGTCTGTCTGTAAATTTTTCACATTTTCGACTTCTTCTCAAGAACCGCTGGGCCAATTTCAACCAAACTTGCCATAAAGCATACTTGAAAGGGGATTTAAGTTTTTTCAAATAAAGGGCCATGCCCTCATTCAAGGGGAGATAATTGAGAATAAGTGAAAATTTGGTGGTATGTCTTAAAAATCTTCCTCTCAAGAACCACTGTGCCAGAAAAGATGAAACTTATGGGGAAACATCCTCAGGTAGTGTAGATTCGAGTTTGTTCAAATCATGTCCCATGGGGGTTGGGCGGGGCCACAATGGCCGACCAAAGTTTTATATAGAAATATATAGGAAAATTCTTTAAAAATCTTCTCCTCAAGAACAGCAGAGCCATAACTGCTCATATTTATATGGAAGCATCCCCACGTAGTGTAGATTCAAGTTTGTTTAAATCATGACCCCTGGGGGTAGAGGGGGGCCACAATGGCTGACCAAAGTTTTGTATAGAAATATGTAGAAAAATTCTTTAAAAATCTTCTCAAGAACAGCAAAGCCATAATTGCTCATATTTATATGGAAGCATCCCCAGGTGGTGTAGATTCAAGTTTGTTCAAATCATGACCCACGGGGGTAGGGCAGGATCACAATGGGCGACCAAAGTTTTATATAGAAATATCTAGGAAAATTCTTTAAAAATCGTCTTCTTAAGAACAGCAAAGCCATGATTGCGCATATCCCCAGGTAGTGTAGATTCAAGTTTGTTCAAATCATGACCCCCGGGGTAGGGCGGGGCCACAATGGCCGACCAAATTTTTATATTGAAATATATAGGAAAATGACCCCCAGGGGTAGGGCGGGGCCAAACTTTTGGATTTAAACTTTTCAATAGTATTGTAAACTATTTTCTAATTTTTTCCTAACCACAATGCTCAGGTGAGCGATGTGGCCCATGGGCCTCTTGTTTTCAGTGATACCAAGGATTTGTCTGAAAATACAATAGGTAAGTACTGAGGGGACCTAAGATTGTATTGAGTTCTATGGGAAATTAATTGGTACTTTCAGAAATTGTTACTTTCCCAGATATTTATATATTTGAGACCCTGAGGGAGACCCCCATTTTGAAAATTATGTCATGTGACTTTAAAGACAGAAATTGTTACTTTAGCTATTCTACTCCGGAGCCGCATGCCACTAACCAGGAGAGGATAAAAGAGTATTAATAAGCTAAGAATAATGCCAGATATTTATATATTTGAGACCCTGAGGGAGAAATTAGTCTAATTTCAATATAACTTGGCAAAAAGTGAAAAAGTGGGGGGTTGCAGGCTTTGGACAGGGGGAGGGCAAGAAATGGGTATGGGAAGATGAAAGGGTAAATTGGCCAGAAATTCTTTCAAAATGGGAGGGCTTTCAAAAGTACAGTATAACTTGGCACACAAGTAGACTACACTAAGATACATAATTCTGTACGGAGAGGGTGCTAAAAATAGAAATCTGTAAAATTGTTTCAAAATGCTACTCCTCCTAGCTGATTTCTTAATGGCACACAAGTAGAGAAGAGACTATTTATCGGTTTTTGACGATGAAGATTACTAAAAATAGAAATTTCTGTGAAATTGTTTCAAAATGTGTGCAATATAAGTTGCATTCTGGCCGATGAATGGTGGAGGTCTGTAAAATTGTTTCAAAATCTCTCTTACCATAACTTGGCACACAAACTAAGATACATAACTTTGTGCATCGGTTTTTGATTTCGATGAACGGTGTTGCCGTGGTTACCTGATGCACTGATTTCAGTATAACTTGGCACACAAGTAGACTACACTAAGATACATAACTTTGTGCATCGGTTTTTGATTTCGATGAATGGTGTTGCCGTGGCCTGTGAAATTCTAACCAGGACTTGGAGGATAATTTTCCGTTTATCGGTTTTTGAAGACGATGTTGCCCAGGTTACTATAAATAGTGTGAAATTCTTTAAAACCAGTTTTGACCAGTATAAGTTGGCAAACAAGTAGAAACTAAGATACATAATTCTGTATAAATTTCGATGAACGGTGTTGCTGTGGTTACTAAAAATAGAAATTTCTGTGAAATTCTTTCAAAACTACAGTTTTGGTCTGATTTCAGTATAACTTGTTAACCATAATTCTGTGTAGTTATTTTTTACTTTCCCAGTTTTTTGCACACACAGAGAGTGTTTTCTGTATAGTGTATGAGTGGTTCTAAAAATAGAAATTTCTGTGAAATTGTTTCAAAATGCTACTCCTCCTACAGTTTTGGTCTGATTTCAGTATAACTTGGCAAACAATGTAACAGATACATAATTCTGTATATCAGTTACTAAAAATAGAAATTTCTGTAAAATTGTTTTGCATGATTTTTGGATACATACGGTGTTGCTGTGGTTACTAAAAATAGAAATGTCTGTAAAATTGTTTCAAAATGCTACTCCTCCTACAGTTTTGGTCTGATTTCAGTATAACTTGGCACACAAGTAGACTAGACTGAGAACATAAAGAGACTTTATCAACGATCATTATTCTATTTAATGCTGTTTATAAATTAATCAAATCAGCTGCTTAAGTACTTTCTCTTCCTTTGCTATGTTCAACAGCATCTAGGTTTTTTAATTTATCTGCATCTCCAGCATATACTGCATTAGCTTGATTAATCTCAGCTGTACATCTGTCAACAGCATCTAGGGCAAAATTATGCAAAAGTTTGGTTTTTAGGTCACCTGAGTAAACTTAGGTGACCTATTGCTATCACTTTTCGTCCGTCGTCGTTCGTCGTGCGTTATCATTTGAACATTTTCAGCTTCTTCTCTGAAACCAATGAGCCAATTTCAACCAAATTTGGCATATAGCATCTATGGGTGAAGGGGAACAAAAATTATGAATTTCATGGTCCCTGCCCCCCTGGGACCTGGGGGTTGGGTAAAAACCACTAAAACTAGTGCAATCTTTAAAAAATTTCTTCTTTACTCCTGGACATCAAGCAGTCAAACTGTTGGTATGATTGTAATCAGTATTGAGTCCTCTACCAAAATTGTGAAATTCATGGCCCCAGGGTCAGGGGTTCTGGTATTAGGGCGGGGCTCTATTGATTATATAGTAAAAATGCATGAATTCTTTGAAAATCTTCTTCTCTGCTACTGGGTAATAAATAAACTAATTAAGTACAAAGTTATGATGAGCAAGAGTGTCTCTACCAAAATTGTGAATTTTATGGCCCCAGGGTAAGGGATTATGGTGTTAGGGCGGGGCTGTATTGATTATATAGTGAAAATGCATTATTTCTTTGAAAATCTTCTTCTCTGTTCCTGAGTATTAAATAAACAAATTAAGTACATAGTTATGATGAGCGAGAGTGCCTCTACCTAAATTTTGAATTTTGTGGCCCCAGGGTCAGGGGTTCTGGTGTTAGAGCGGGGCTGTATTGATTATATAGTGAAAATGCATTATTTCTTTGAAAATCTTCTTCTCTGTTCCTGAGTATTAAATAAACTAATTAAGTACATAGTTATGTTGAGCAAGAGTGTCTCTACAAAAATTGTGAATTTTTTGGCCCCTAGGTCAGGGATTCTGGTGTAAGGGTAGGGCTCTATTGACTATATAGTGAAGATGCATTAAATCTTTGAAAATCTTCTTCTCTTGTCCTAGGAATTAAGTAAACTAACTATTAAGTACATAGTTCTGATGAGCAAGAGTGCCTCTACCAAAATTGTGAATTTTAAGGCCCCGGGGTCAGGGGTTATGGTGTTAATTAAGGCGGGGCTCACTTGATATTGATTATATAGTAAAAAGGCATTTATTCTTTTAAAGCTTCTTCTCTACTTCTAGGTATTAAATAAACTAATTAAGGACATAGTTATGATGAGTAAGAATGCTTCTACCAAATTGTGAATCTTATGACCCCATGGTTAGGGGTTATGGTGATAGGGGCTGGCATGGCTCTATAATGATTATATAGTGATAACACATTACATCTATGATATTCATGCATTTACTCTACTCCTGGGTAATAAGCACATGAACTATTTATATAGTTATTTTGTGCAAGGGCTCTTCTTCCAGAATTGTGAATTTCATTGCCCTTGGGCCAGGGATACCAAAGAGGGGGGGGGGGCTCTACTTATATTCTGAAAATTAATTGTTTGAAATCTGCTCCTTGGTATTAATCAAACATTTGTGATAAGCAAGTGTGCCTTTTCAAAAATTGTGCAATGTGTAGACCTAGGGTCAGGGGTACATGTGTGATAGGGGCAATCCTGATTATTGCTGAATATTACTGATTAGTTGACATGCATTTTTGTTCCCCTACCCTGATTATGGGTATTAATTAAACAAACTCCACAATTGCTCAATGTATAGTTATGATTAGCAATGGTACCTATTTCAGAATTGTGAATGCCATAGCTTAAAACATGAACCAAAGTCAATCATTTGAAAGTTGTTGCATGATGCTCAGGTGACCTATAAGGCCAATGGGCCTCTTGTTTCTGCTCTAGTTCTCTTTGGCATGACCTCTAAAAGTTTCTGATCTTTTTTAATTGCCTTTCTGATCGACTCGGACAACTGTCAAGTGTCAATATAGTGAACTGGGATATTTTGCAGGAGACCGTCCTTATAAAGGGAATCTGCAGCTCGACCGGCAGAGCTGTCTGGGTCAGTGGTTACCTCCCTTACCTCGAGGCCACCTTTGCAGAGGAGTTCCTCCATCCCCTCCCTAGCCCAAATGAACTCATCCCCAATGGTATGGGACATTGGTAGATTTGCCCCATACACCCCAGGACTACACTGATGGTTAGCATTGCCCTCATCAAGTAAGTGGCCATGTTTTGAGCAAATTTTATTTTTACTAACCATTTTAACTATTTGATGTTTTGATGTAACATTTTCAGCAAATGAGTACACTGTCTGTGTCGCCGGCTGGAAGGGTGTCTCACCCACCCTCCAGTACAGGGTATTATTGTACATGCCATCGCACTGTATGGGGATGGCATGTGGGGAGTCAATTCCCCTTAAGGTGTTGACATCCACCAGCTGGCGACACCGGTTACTCATGTCAGCCTCATTTATATTTTCAATCATGGGCATAATTTTATTTGACATTTTTTGTAGGGAATTACGAGTAGGAGGGGGAGTGTTGGTCGAAAGAAGAATTTTCCTCATCCCATCATTACCTATAGGAGTTTGAGGCCAATTTGTAGACTGTGATTCAGAGTGGCAGTTTTCCTACCCGTGGATTTGGTCTCAACCTCCTCGTATAACTTGTACCGCTGGGAAACAAACAGGCATTTTGTGCAGTGGAGGCCCATTCTACTTGCAAGACCACGCCTATCCTCAGATGCCAAGTCCCACGTGAGGGGTCCATCACAGCCGGGTATCTGTAGCTGGTGCAGTGAGACAACTTCATTCCACATCTCGGCTGTTTTCCCCAAGTGTAGAAGTCTGTGGGAATTTTGGTTAGCCAGCCTAGGTAAAGTCACAATGGTTTATTTGCATGAAACAGTCAACAGGTAGAAGAGCATGAGAGTAGTTATTAGAGTTATTTCCCTTAGACCTACTGACTAGACATACAGAACTTAAATTCAGCATCATGTAATTTTAATTGTTTCAACTTTTACACTAGTCTTATGATTTGTTTGTAAATGTTAAAATGTAGTTCAGCTGCATGTATCACATTTAACTTTGCATGTATTTACATGTATCTACATGTAATTGTGTATAACATGTAATCCCCCTTAGAAACTTAATTTTTTACATTTTTAACTTGATATCTGATATATAAATACTTAATCTGTAAGAATATTTGAAAAATATTGCTTTGTTATCATTGTTTTATACAAAATTTGACTTACTGCACTGAATCCTTTTCAATTAAGCACTGTGGTGGGGTTTCATCTCTCAGCTTCCTTGGCCGAAGAAGACAGTGGCACCTTCCCCGCACAAGCATTTCCTCTTTTTCCGCAGCTGACGGAGTGTCCGAAACCATCTTATTCATCTCCTCGGACAGTCTGCTGTATGGTGCGGGTAAGTTTTCCTCCTCTTTACTTTTCACCCCCTTATTATGTGGCACATTTTGGGGCTTGTAACCATGATTTATAATGACCCTTTTTGAATTTTGGCATTGCTTTAAATTCTCCTTGTTTAGGCTTATAATTCCAAAAACTTGACAAATAGTTAATGCTGTTTAAGGCTACAGTGACTGAAGTCTACTGTGTTATCAAAATGGGGGGGTTTCTCTTGTCTAAATTAATTGTAAACAAAGATGATATAGGGGGCACCTGCTAGTTCTCTTAAAGCTTCATTAGATGGGGGAGGTGAAACTTTTCGAACATACTTAATCAGCAGGGGGGAACAGATTAGAATCTTTTGGTATATAAGAGTCAATAATGATTAACTTTTAATAATCAACAAAGAGTTTGCTAATTTGTCCTTTTGAAATCTTTGTATATTGCCTAATTTGCTAGGTTTTCATGCAATTTTGGACCTATTTTCAAATTCTGGGTAGAATCCACCCTTATGGAAAAATTGACTCAATTTTGACTTAATACCATTTTATTAACATCATAAAACAAAAAAATTTCATTGAACAAACATTTTATTTATTACAGTCACAAATATATCCAAATACGATCACCGGTCAGAAAGACATTCACTCTTTTGAACTGTGGTGGAAGCAGTGAGGTGTCACCTATTGAGATGGACACAGTATCCAATACACTGAAGTCACAGGACTCAAATTTCATACATGTTCACAGGTAGGTGTATAATCTTTGAAATTACCACAATTGACTAATTCTGGGACAGGTAAGTATGTAAGTATAGGAATGAGAGCACCAAATTCCCGAATGTACACATGGCTTTGTTTGTTATGGAACATGTGGAACATTAAACAGAATACTGAATGGGTAGGCGTTATGCCATTGGCTGAAATCACTGGTATTTCATTGTTTTCATTTTAAAGTAAAATTAATGACGTTTGAAATAAATGATGGGATGAGGGAATATTACAACTATAAAAAGAATTACCAGGGAAGATTTTAGGAATGGGGGTTGATTTTTTATGTAGCGTGTTATTTACTGCAGATCTCTATAAGTTGAAAATTACTGCAATTTTTACCTATAAACGCAATGGGACCATATATTTTTTTCAGTATATTTTTTTAGGGCTTAGAACGAAGTTTGAAATGATGCTTAGGATTTTTCTGAAATTGTCATAGTAAAGTACTGAGAGGGTCTAAGATTTGTATAGAGTTCTATGGGAAAATAATTAGTGGTCTTTTCCTTATAGAGAGAGCTGGCTGTCGCCATTGCTAGAGCTGCATATCAAGGAGAGGATTATTTGATTGAATTGACAACTCAGATCTGCATAATTATGCTTCCAGGTATTTTTTTAAACACTTTTAATTAATGTATTTCATTAAGAAAATCTAAATTGTAAACATATTATTTCATAGTCTAAAAGAAATTCATGAATTCATATTTTTATAGGCCCATCTTAAGACGGGACGTATCATGTTATAGGCTTCGTGTCCGTTCGTCCGTCTCTCTGTCCGTCTGTTAGCTTTTCTTGTGTCCAGCTCATAACTTTAATACTATTAGGCCTAGAGTTACCAAACTTTGTCAGCTGATACATCTTGGGTAGAAGTGTGTCGCGCACAAAAAGTAGGTCGCTCTGATCTTTAATTTAAAAGATATAGCCAAATATGGAAAAATCCTTTCCGGCCCATAACTAGAAAACTATTAGACTTAGGTCCATCAAACTTGGCCAGTTTATGCATCTTAGGTAGAAGATGTGTTGCGACCTATTTCAAGGTCACTGTGACCTTTAATTTAAGTGAAATTTTAAAAAAAATGTCTTTTTACTATTCATTTACACATCCCAAAAAATGTAAGAGTATTTCACTATACTTATTAAAAAAGTGTTAAATCAAGAAAATACTTCTTTTTTTCAGCATATACTAATTAACAGCAATCCATGATATAATGTTTGTTAAAGAAATTCAAACTTTCCCATGAGTGTAATTATCAAGCAATACTCAAGAAGAATTCTGAGAACAGAAAATTGCATGTCAAATTAGAGAGAAATTCATGAGTTTAGTGTGAGGACCTATCTGGCAGAGCATCTCTGGTCAAGATGTTATCTATATCCCTTGGGCAGATGGGTCAGCCTGTTGGGTGAGAAATAGCCCTTGTTAGCTAGCATAAGTTTTAAAATGAATTTGATGAAAAGTAATTAAAACTTCTTTGATACAGTGTATTGCATAATAAACTAATTTGACATTATATAATATTATTAATTTAAAAAACTAATTTTATGGGGGTGGAGTGGAATCAACATGTCCATTTGTCCATATGAATTGCATATTTAAACCTGTCTGACATTATATCTCAAAAAAAAAAATCATTGAGTATTTTATAAGTTTTAAAAATATTTTAGGGTAGAAAGTACAGATCCATTCATCTCCACTCAAAGATTAATTAATGAGTGCAATGCAGGAAGGCTAGCTGTCTTAATCATTTTATCTATATCCTTTGGGAATTAGACAGAAGAACCCTTGGTCAGGTTATAGCATATATCATTTGAATGCCTAGCCTTTTATTTCAAAATTAATTTGGTATAGATTAAGTTGTTCAGACTAATGTGATACATGTATTGTTTATTGGCATTTGACAAGGTCTTACACAACCAGTATAGATATCTCTCAGTAATTTAATATGTGTTATTATTAATGCCTTCACAAAAGGGGATGGATAAAAAAATATTTTAAGGAATGGAAAAATCAAGGAAATATTCACATAATTTTCTTGCACTCTAAACTGTTGAAGATAATTGTAATTTTTTGACGGGCGTATCATGCTGTGGCGTGGCACTTTATTTTCATAGAGCCTTTCATTTTGTGCAAACTGAAGGTCAAGGTCAAATATGGAGGTGAAAGAGCACATAATGCTGATACTTTTTAAAAGTATAATTTGTTACAAATTCTTGTTTGCTTTTATTTCAGACTGCTCCTGAGATGTTTTCCTATGAAGAATTTCCTGTAAGAGAGGTCAAGGTTAACACAGACCTCCACTTTCCAGGGGCCGGGTGTCTGGTGGTGTCCTGTAAAACGGACTCCAAGGCTGCAAAGAAAGAGTAGGCACATTTTCTCTATTGCTACATCTTATGTTCAACAATGTGTATTGACATTGAATGACTTTTTAGAGATCCTGAGCCAAAGGCTCAAGTGAGCTTTTCTGATCAAAATTTGTCCGTCGTCTGTTGTCGTCGTTGTTGTTGTTGTCGTCGTCGTTGTAAACTTTTCATATTTTCATCTTCTTCTCAAGAACCACTGGGCCAATTTCAACAAAACTTGCTACAAAGTATCTTTGGGTAAAGGGGATTCAAGTTTGTTCAAATGAAGGGCCACACCCTTTTCCAAGGGGAGATAATTATGAATTAAGGAAAAATTAATGGCATTTATAAAAAATCTTCTTCTCAAGAACCACTGTGCCTGGAAAGATGAAACTTAAGGAGAAACATCCTCAGGTAGTGTAGATTTAAGTTTGTACAAATCATGACCCCCGGGGGTAGGATGGGGCCAAAATGGCCGACCAAAGTTTTACATAGAAATATATAGGAAAATTCTTTAAAAATCTTCTTCTCAAAAATGACAAAGCTATAACTCATCATATTTATATGGAAGCATGCTCAGCTAGTGTAGATTCAAGTTTGTTTAAATCATGACCCCTGGGGGTAGGGCAGGGCCAAAATGGCCGACCAAAGTTTTACAAAGAAATATATAGGAAAATTCTTTAAAAATCATTTTTTAAAGAATAGCAAATCCATGATTGGTCATGGGACTACTTTTGGATTTAAACTTTACAATAATAAACCAATTTCTACTTTTTCCTAGTCTTAGTGCTCAGGTGAGCGATGTGGCCCATGGGCCTCTTTCGAGTAACTATAAGCCCTGTGTTGACCA